GGGGGGGGGGGGGGGGGGGGGGGGGGCATAAGAATTTGAGAAAGGCTTAGGTGGGGCATGGCACAAAAAAGGTTGGGAAACACTACTATAGACTGTCTTCAACACAAGTATAGCTTTAGAGGGAAACATTGATTTTACAATTATTTTATTGTTGTTTCAGCTGAAATTTGGCTGACATTTTAAAAAAAAAATTATAATAAAGAAAATGTTCATTTTGAAGACACAAAGAAAGTAACTTGTGAATGTGGCATAATATGGGCCAGTAAATTAATGAGCATCTATAAGGTTGGGTCTGTCATTTGGTTATAACACATGTGGCTATATTTTGGAACGACTTTAAGCTGTCATCCTGAGTACCACTGATGTCAACAATTTCAGGAAAGTGAAGAAGAGAACTGCTTCAAATTAATGAAAAAAGAAATCAAATAAAATTAGCATCGTAAGTGGGCACTAGACTATATCTAATTAATTTTCTGAAGAATATTTAAGTTTTCAGATGTTCAAAAATTATTACTTACACCAATCAAGCTGTCCAGAGTTTGACCAATCAAGCTGTCCAGAGTTTGACCAATCAAGCTGTCCAGAGTTTGACCAATCAAGCTGTCCAGAGTTTGACCAATCAAGCTGTCCAGAGTTTGACCAATCAAAAGTAAAGTTCAAGGGAAAAGGTCCTGGTATAATGCATCAAGGAAGCCGAAGGTGTATTCAATTTTTATTTTTTTATTTTTTTTTACAATTCTTGAGTGGTTACACACATGTTTTGCGAGATGATGGAATGTTACGTCACATCCGACATCAGCACACTAGTTATGCTTTGATTATCCTGGTTACAACAGCTGGAGGACCAAAATAGAGATAAGGTTTTTTCTGGAATGGTAGCACTAGACTTAATAGCACACTACTCCAGTGCTTATTTGGCTGTTTTAGCAAGCAAATATCAAATGAAATCAAAACTCTTTTAACTTATACTTAATCACGTAAGTTTTCATTTAAAATATGTGTTGCCTATCCATTATGAAATGTCAAATGTGCTGGACATACAAGCAGTCACACAACATAAGTTGGTAACACAAACGTCCTCTTCTCCAAAGTCAGGGTTACAAAGAACTGGTGGATACCAATTTATTATTGTGTTACAAAGCCCTAGGGATAACCAATCAATTATTGTGTTGAAAAGCTGTGGTGATAACCTATCTATTATGGTGTTACATAGCCCTGGTGATAACCAGTCTATAATTGTGTTGAAAAGTTGTGGTGATAAACTATCTATTACTGTGTTACATGGCCCTGGTGATAACCAGTCTATTATTGTGTTACGTAGCCCTGGTGATAAACAATCTATTATTGTGTTGAAAAGCTGTGTTGATAACCAATCTATAAATATCATTGTGTTGAAAAGCTGTGGTGATAACCAACCTATTATTGTGCTACATAGATAGCCCTGGTGATAAGCCAATCTGTATTATTGTGTTACAAAGCCCAGTGATAACCAACCTATTTGTTGTGCTACATAGATAGCCCTGGTGATAACCAATCTGTATTATTGTGTTACAAAGCCCAGGTGATAACTTATCTATTATTGTGTTGAAAAGCTGTGGTGATAACCAATCTATTATTGTGCTACATAACCCTGGTGATAACCAATCTATTTTTGTTTTGAAATGCTATGGTGATAACCAATCTAATATTGTGTTACAAAGCCTTGGTGATAACCAATCTATTTTTGTGTTGAAAAGCCCTGGTGGTAACCAATCTATTATTGTGTTGCAAAGCCCAGGTGATAACCAACCTATTATTATCATGGATAATTTTTTTTTAAATAGAGCAAATCGATAAATTTATGAAAACATTTCTGATGTTAAATTAAAAGTCGTGATTTTGTGTGTGTGGATAATTGTTAATGAACACAAGCAACATAATTTATTTGAGAAAAAAAAAGTTTATTTGTACAATTCATTCAATTTCAATGCACAGGCAACAGATATTCATCTCAACTCTGACAGAATTCACACACCCAACACATCAAAGTCCTGAAAATAAACAAATACATATTAATGTAAGTTAAAAGTTGACTCAATGCTAAACATAAAATTTACAACAAAGAAAAATACCGGGTAGTTGTTTAGACTTGATAATATTTGTTCTTGTGCGTGTCACCAGCTGTGAAGACAGTCATTATGAGCCCAGCGGTTGTCATCAAACAAGTCAAGGAAATGGGAGAAATCTCAAGGTGAACTTTGTGTTGTACACACACAGGCACACACATTCACACACTAACGCAATGGGAGAATTTAAATTAAAAAAAGTCAACTAAAAATAGAAAACAAAAAAACTTACCCAAGAAATCATCCATTAGAGTTCCAATTGCAAACTGTTGACAAATGTAAAATACAAAATTATTGACAGCAGATTTATTCAACATTTGCCAAAATGCTCAATGTAAAGATAAAAGCTTTAGGCTTGCTGTTATTGCAGTGACAAACTAGTTTTACAAAATCTCACAATTTTTTCTGTCACACAAATCATTTTTCACCAAACAAGTTGTTATCACACAATATGATGCGTTTCTCATAAAAACCCCATAAGCACGCACACCTGTGTTGTATACTTACAATATCTTTTGCATCAACTCTTGTACCAACGATTTTTAACCTGATCTCATCCTCCTCTTGTATGACTACATCCTGGGGACAGGGTGGGGGTGTGGGGGGGGGGGGGGGAAGGAAAATCAGTGGGGAAGGGAGGAAAAAATTAGGGAAAATGTATGACTACAGCCTGGGGACAGGGTGGGGGTGTGGGGGGGGGCGAGAAGGACATTCAGTGAGATAGAGAGCAAAACATTAGGATAAAGAGTAAATATATTCTGGCATACAAGCATAAGCTAATACACTGATCACACAAACTGCACCAGTCTATCAACTAACCTATCACACCAAGTGAACAAGTCTATTAATGTGAAGCGACAGCAATAAGGAAGCTCAAAAATGGAATCGTCAATGATCAATTAATCAAAGAAGTCACCAAGTTTTTTTTTTTTAAACATTCACAAATTTAGGTTTAAGATGGAAGCAAAAGATGCTGTGAGGCAAACAGTCACTGAGTAGGTCGTGAACACACCAGTTGTCTTCCCTTACATCTTCTCACAGAGTAAGCCATGAACATATCAGTTCTCCTCCCTTAAATTCTCTCAATGAGTAAGCTATGAACATATCAGTTGTCCTCCCTTACTTTCTCTCAATGAGTAAACCACAAACATATCTATCGTCTCCCTTAATTTCTTGCTGCAGTTAAAGTAAGAGCCATTAAATATAGAAACAAGAGTAATTAACTGAAAAGCTTAGACCTTTATATTTTTAGGATTCAAGGTGTGATAAACATTTTATGCAATCACTTTGATGGATAAAATACTAATACTTTTTTTTTAAAATGGGAAATGAAAAAAAAAAAAGTGGCATCAAGTGTTCTCAAACATTTGGCAGGAGAGCGTTTGACACATTGATACCTACTTGTGATTAGATACGAAAAATCAAACAATTTTAAATGTGACGGTATGGTTCCAAATCAAATAAAGTGAAACCACCGCAGAAGTGATAATTTTTCATGGACCCTTACTGAACACACATTAACTTGGTAATCGAATGAATTAACTATTTATGAGTAGCTTTTTGTTTTACTATGCAGCATGTATATTAAAGTTAAATAAATATTCTTACATTGACTTCGCTACAGTTATCCTGAACAACAATACAATAAAAGTAAACAATTTCTATAAGCACCTAAAATATGATAAAAAAGTTTTTAATTTTTTTGCAAAATTACTTGTCTGGTCTTACAACATCGTCAGAGAGAAATTGAGTTAATAAAGATAAAACATTTTAATGCCATGTTTGGATGTTGATCAACTAAGGACAGTCAAAACAAAATTAAACACAAATTAAAATTGTCAAGAGATCCGACACATTTGGATGTTTAAAAATCATCTTGACATGACGAGACTCACCTCATCTTTGGTTTTATAGCAAGGAGGATTGGAACTTGGGTCAAACTCCATGTCTGCTGGTATGGACTACAGACATATAGAACAAATTATACTGACTGCATCATACGCATGGTTAAAAAAAACAATTAACTTTTTGTCTAGTACTCATAAATGAAATTGAAATACTTACTTTGTTTTATTTTTACAGAAAAAATTTCTCTAAGTCTAATACAAATTGCATAAAATATGAAACAGACTTACATGCCGTGAAATAAAACATGAGAGGGGACCGATTTCTGTAAATAAGCCAACCTAAAAAGACAGGAATATAATATATATGTGTGTGTGTATATATATATATATATATATTTATGTATACACGTGCAAAAGATATTAAATAATCTGTTTGTTTAAAAATAAAAATTGCAAAAATTAATGAAACATGTTGACATCATTAACAATAAATGGCCACGAACGGAAGTACTAATCTTTGATAAGACTAAGGCTAAGCTATGTTTGTCAATCTGGGTGCCAAGCTAGAATCATTTTATTTAAAAATACTCGTCAAGTTAGTGTTTACCTTATTCACTTGCGTGACCACTGCATCAAGGACTTCTCCTTTAAATGGACGAAAAACTATTGCTTTGTATTTGACAGGATAGACCACAAAACCCCTGCTGGGCTGAATCAACCCAGCTCCAATGTTGTCTATGGTGGTCACAGCTATGACAAAGCCATACCTGATAAGAAAAAATATTAGTGTTAGAAATACAAAATCACAATCACCTTACAATACCCCAGTGTTAGGTATTGGGCAAATTAATGTGAACAACTTGAATGCTAGTTATTGTTTTTAGTGATTATCTCATCGGTTTTGTTCTGTCAACTCTGCTTAACATACAGCAGTAAATATTTTATAGGCCTGTGATATATGTTTACTCACTTTCCTGTGCATGTTCCTTCTACTTCTGTAAAAAGCTTCTGCTTCACAGTATTCAGTAAATTTGGACCAAAGTACCTTGGGTGTAACAGTATATCGTGCTCCAGTGAAACCTAGTACAAATATTGTAAATAGATAGTTGAACAAGATATGTTTAGGCTTGCAAAAAAAAAAAAGACAGGACAATTACAAGATCGGCTAGATGCCTTCTTCAGCTGACAATGCAAAGCAAGAAACAGCAGATAATGTAAAGTTAGAAATAAAAACATATCTTTTAGAAAATGTAAAAAAAAAAGTCAATGTAGATCAATGTTCAGAACAGGAGGAGCTCGATGCTCTTGTTAGAAAAGGGAAGCTAAGTTGATTAAAACCAAAACATGTGCCCCACATGCTATCAATGTAAAAGAATTTAAGTTTTATTAATGTAAAAACCTGGTAGAGTCCATAAAATAAATGTTCACAGTCCTTGCATGTTTGTTTTAAATTACTATAGTAGTACAAGTACAATAGTACTATTCTCATGGTTTCATTCATGAAAGAATGAATGAGCTGTGTGCAAACACTATTAGATCAATGGTCAGAGAAAGCTTTATTAATTAGTTATGTGCAAAAGTTGAAAGTTCAAAATAAGTAGTCCCAAACCAGTATTATTTCTATCAAATGCCTTGCCTTACATAGACTGTTATATATTTAGAAGGGATGCTAGACTTAGTAAACATAACATCCATATCGTATCACTAGAATAAGTTAATTATATTGTTAAAATTCATTTAAAACTAAAACTTTTAATACCTAGTAATAATTTATCCTGAAAATAAAAGTTATACCTAGTAATAATTTATCCTGAAAATAAAAGTTATAAAATTATCATTTGTTTAAGAGTTAAGTTATAGTGCTTGATGTGATCAGCGAAATATGGTCACAAAATGTGAAGGTGTAGACCAAAGTAAAAAAATACCATTACCAACAGAACTTGCACTTTAAAAATTCATAGCTTAAAATGTACTAAAGTCTAGAAAGATGACTGGTTTAATATTTTTATTTGAAGTTTGCCATATAATAAATGTAATTTTTCTTTTTTTAAAATTTAATAGTAGTACCTAATCCTAGTAATATTAAATAATGACAATCATAGGCACAGTCAATATTAGGGGTTGCAAAACCTGTCCCTTTTGCCAAATCCAGTATTTTTTATATTGAAGTTTACGAATACCGGAATCCCTGTATTTTTTATATTTTCAATATTTAGAGAATTTTTAGTCGAGATTCGAGATTAGAGGTGTGGATTTGTCAATGAAATAAATATATTCAGAAAAATAAAAAATCATATTTTCATTTTTAATAAGCTTTTAGCAATAACACAAATTTTTAACGTCAGACTTTAATCAAAGGAACAAAAATAATATTCTTTACTTTTTAATTTAAATAGCTTTATTAATCAAATATTAAAATAATTTGTGTTGTTTTAATCTTTGGTCAAATTTAAATAATGAAATCGTAAAAATGACAAGTGTATAATGCTTGGTCACTTAACTTTGACCGCAAATGGTTAAAAAAGTAGCCTGATGAAGAGAACAACCGCTCTGACTTCACACTGGTCGGAAGAATAGACCTTAGGCTATCATACGCAATTTCTAGATATTTTCCTCTTGAACCACCATCCTCAAATAAGCCATTTCTCTTTTTTCCAATGTATCAATGTCTCCATTGTATTATATCTTTCAAGTTCATCATGCTCAGATCCAAGATGCTCAATTTCATTGTTCATAGTTATTTCCAACAAAGAATCTGCTCTCTAACCAAGCTTTTGAATATCCACGATATGTTTTTGCATCTGGTGGCAATCTGGAGTTATAAATACGTCCAAGTAGTCAGTGGAATGAACAGACTTTAAATGAGTGTGCATTTATTAGGTACTTGGATGAAACAAGGGAGACTACTACTTTGTGTGTATCAGAAATGGAAATCGGCGCCGAAAAATCAGAGTTTTTAATTTTTGGATGTGTGTGTCTATTTATTATTAAATTAGTACTTTCAACATATATTTGAGTTCCATTTCCGCCTTATCTTAAGGTAGACATCTTGGCCTACATTTACATTGATTTCTTTTAATTTTTCAATCGACCTGTATTTTGAGATTCCCCTTTAAATATAAGGCATCTTTCACTATAAAATTCGTATTGAAGTTCAACTTTTATGTCTTTAAAAAAATGTCTAATTCTGTATAATCTATCGATGTGTATTTGTGTTGATTCTCATCGAGTTAGGACATGTCGGTCCCTTGTTATGCTCATTTGAGTAAACCCTTATATGGTAATGCAGCTCAGCCCAATTTCGATAAAGAAGTGGCCACGCTCCCTTTCATTGACGGAAGACGCCGTTACTTAGGAAATATTCAATTATTTCCACTATTTACATCAAAATATTTGATAAATTATGTTTAGAATGAACTTAAATGTTATTGAAAGAATACTGTTTTAATCTGGTTAAAAAACCAGGCAGAGTCCATATTATAAATGATCATAATTTGCAGTGTGCAAAATGTCATGGCGGCCATTCACGGTGACTTGCATAATGGCTATTATTTAGTACTATCTCAGAGTTTTCATTCATAAAACTTTGCCATGTGCAAAAACTATTAAACTAGGTCAGGGAAAGCTTTAATTAATTAGTCATGTACCTAAGTTGAAATTTCAATAGTTCCCAAACAGTGTTTTAGTAATTAGGGCATGGGTTGCCTTATATAGACTATATAGCATATATCAGTATAATGGACGTAGTAGATTTGGTAAACAGAAAAGCCATTTAAATATATATAGTAATACATATTATATTAAATTTACTGATATAAATAATGCATAGTTAGATAAGCTACAATTTATCTATAATTGTTAACATTATTTTAAATACAGCATTAGTCATTAGTTCTGAAAATAAAATTATCATTAAAACAAGAATTATATAGCTCGTGACTGCGAACAGCAGAGTTGGGTCACAGAATGTGGAGATGTGGTCCATGTTAAGAAGGACAAAAGCCCCATATGCTTTTCATATTTAGGTTCAATTTTTTTGTAAGTCAAAATTCGATTTTCATTCGACTATACCAACTTCAATAATTTGCTAATTAGCCTACAGCCTACTAGGCTACTTGACTACTTGTTATTGCTATTATTTGTCTCAGTCCTCAATTAAAATTAAATTTAAACTTTAAAAACTTAATGCCAAAATCATTAAATATTTAAACTATTATTAAACTTCAGCCTGGGACCCATTTACCCAGAAGAGTATTGACAGGTTGGAGGCGGTCCAGCGACGAGCAGCATGCTTTGTCCTAAACTGCTACAGGAATACCTCTAGTGTTGGCAGCATGCTAGAAACACTAGGCTGGTCACCATTGGAGAAACGACGACGACAATCCAGGCTCTCCATGATGTACAAGATAAATAATGGGCTGGTCCACTGTTCTAGCATTAAACAGAAACTCATCCCTCTCCCCCATAGATAGCGAAGAGGCCATGACAGGCAATTCAGGCTCATACCAGCAAGAAGCCAGTGTAGGAGCTGCTCATTCCTGCCCAAGACAATCAGGGACTGGAACAATCTTTCAAAAGGAACGGTTGAGGCGACAACACTAGACACATTTGTGTCTATTGCCTCAAGCCTTCAAACCCCTAGTGCATGATTTTGCTACAGGAATACCTCTAGTGTTGGCAGCATGCTAGAAACACTAGGCTGGTCACCATTGGAGAAACGACGACGACAATCCAGGCTCTCCATGATGTACAAGATAAATAATGGGCTGGTCCACTGTTCTAGCATTAAACAGAAACTCATCCCTCTCCCCCATAGATAGCGAAGAGGCCATGACAGGCAATTCAGGCTCATACCAGCAAGAAGCCAGTGTAGGAGCTGCTCATTCCTGCCCAAGACAATCAGGGACTGGAACAATCTTTCAAAAGGAACGGTTGAGGCGACAACACTAGACACATTTGTGTCTATTGCCTCAAGCCTTCAAACCCCTAGTGCATGATTCCCTCACAAAGTGGCACTGGAAATCAGTGAAATTTCCTCATCAACACCAGTAACAGAAACATTGCAAATCCCATCTACATGCATATGAGCCAAAATGATCAATAAATTGATCGTGGGCCCTTAAGATATAGAAGAAGAAGAAGAAGTTGGCCATTAGCAATCCTAAAATTGCATTTATTTAATTAGCGTAATTAATAAATACATAATTAGAAATGAATGAGCTTACGTGATAAAACATTTTAATGCTGATTTTAAGATTTTAGAAATGTTATTCCGTCTATCATTTATTTATTTTTTGTTTCCTCGACCGGAAAAGGATTATACTTACTTCAAAGCTAAAAGAATACGGACATAATTCGTTATTTTATTTTAAAGTAGCCCCCCTTACTTTGACATGCCAAATAACACTGTATCTATATTATTTTTTTATTTTTTTTTTTATTTTATCGCTTACGGCCAATTATTATTCATCATGAATTGCAAATAATATATACGTTATTTATGATAGAACAGTTATTTATCTTTTAGTTATTATTCTTATCTAAACAACAAAGAGCTCATTAGTTGCGCCGAAGTAAAAAAAAAAAAAAATTAAATTGAAAATTGTAAAAAGGAAAAGCACATGGAATGAAAGCTTATCCCGCGAAAGAAAAACCTGTTTTAATAACAGTAAAAGCTTTTGGTACAATCTCATTATTTCTTGTATGATATTCATTGTAATATTTTTAAATATATTAATTATGCTGATAATCCAAATTTAATGTTTGTAGCTTTCGATGAGACGGATAATTATTTATTTTTATTCTTGTGATAAATAAAGTATAACGCTATCTCCAGCCTTTTAAAACACCACGCCCACTTCGGTGGCCATGTCATTTTCAATTTTGTCGTTTACGAAATTGGCCATGTGATCACTCTATTTCTCAAACCGTTTAATAACTCAACGGTCTACAACTGGCATTTTTGCCGTTGTTGTTTGTTAATTCTAAAGATAGTTTATAAATTGAAACAAGAAGACCCATATAGTTTATCTAGTAACTTTAAAAGTTATTTCATGACGTGAATCATAAAATTTAAATAATTGTAATTGATCAATTAATAATTAATATGAATTATCTTTCTTTATAGATCTTAGATTGCTAATTACTATTATTTAATAAAGCAACCCTAACCATTAAATTTGAATTTAATACAGCACCTTATCAGCATTCTTAATATATAACTTGTCATATATAGCTTATTACTTATTACTAAGGGCTTTTTTCAAAGTAAGTGAGTGAATGATGATCTTGATTGATCTCCAGTGTCCTTGAAAACCCAGTTATTTGTAATAAATAGGCATAGGAATTTTCAATTAAGGCTTATTGGTCATTTAAGTTGTATTATTTTATGTAGGCCCTACTGCCCTACCAAGTAAGTTAATTGTCAGATTTCTTTTTTATTTGATTATAAATTAAAATTATTATTATTTATATTTTTAGAATTATAAATGACTAAGGCTGCAGTTAAAGCAAGGTTTTTCAAAATCTTGTTACTTATAATTAATTAGCATCCTCTTTTTTAATTTAAAGAGTGTATCTCCATTGCCAATACTCAGTCAATACTGTTATTATTTTTATTTTAACATGCTTTCTTCAACTAAGAGGCATACTACAGGCATAAGCTACACATGTTAAAAATGGAGTTCTTAAAGAGAGGTTGTTCATCACAAACTCAAACGGAAATCAGGCCTTCACTAGTTACCTTTCATGATGAAAAAGAAGATGTTTTCACACAGACAGAAGCTTACTCAACTATTCATATTCATATGAAACAAAAAACTATTTTAGAGACACCAGAAGCTGCATTAGAAGTAAATATCTAGTTATCTTCAGTAGTTCAGTGTTTAAATTGTATTTTTTTAAAGCCATAATCATGAAAATCTGATAGCCCCTCTCCAAAACTTCCTCTTCTAGGTGCGTAATACCTCTAGATATTCAAAAAAATTTAAAAATCCAGTTTTGTTAATTTAAAATTTTGATTCATTCCTTTTGTTGCTATGTTTATCAGTTTTCTTCAGGTAATAGTAATAATTCTTTAAAAAAAAATTATTTAATAATTAATTATTTAAAAATGAAATGCTTATTTAGGCATTTATTTCATTCTGACATTCTTTTGTTACTACATTTAAATAACTATTTTTAAATTACAAAAACAGGTAGGCCTTACTTTAATTTAACTATATTTTTAAAGGAATCAGCTGCAGAGGCTATGAAATATTTTGAGTCCCAGCTTTTGACTCCAGTTATTCAGAGGAGACCTAACTTCTATCAGAGAGATAAAACCCCAAACACTCTGAAGATGCTGAAAGAGAAACATAGAGAAAATGAACGGTATGTCATGAATGAAGAAAATATTATACCTATTTTTAAAATTGTCTTATTTCATTTTTAAAAGGTGGCACCTGACTTAAGAAAAATCTCATTGATTGACAATTTTGTGTAATACTGAAAACAAGTAAATTTTCACACAATAAAATAATATACTATAATAATATATACTTGAAAACATCAAACTGAAAAGCTTTCCAATTTTGTATTTGCACGTATTAAGGCTGACTACTCATGTGTTTTTTTTTTCCAAAATCTCTTTGTGATGAGATGTTTGATTTTCCTAGTCTCTTAATGTTGATGCTGACTGAAAGCTTACACAAATGAACTTCTTAGCTCATTTAGAAAATCTATAAACTTTTACAGCCAACGACATCATTCTCTGAACCAACACCTACGTCTCATCTGTAAAAAAGTTCCAGGCTCTGCTGAAGATGGTAAAGAAACAAAGGTATGTGGGAAGATATATATTCTTCTTTTTAAAATGTATCTGGTTTTTGTGGTAGCTGTAATGATCTATATGTCAAATATAACTATCTATAAACCTGTTTCTCCATACTTAATATACTGAAACTTCATCCAGTGTTGAGGTTAATCAGTCAGTTTTATTGTGCTTTTTTTTTTTTTTAATTAAAGAATTACACTTACGGTCAATCTTAAGAAAAATCCCTAAAATCTACAGGTCACGGGCCTGACAAGTGCATCTTTAACTGTGATCATAAAATATTTATGAAAATTTGAGTTTATAAAAGTGTTTAATAATTGCTGTATAAAACTCATGATTTTAATACAAATTAAATGTTTATATTGATATACATTTCCAGTATCATTGTTTGCATTTCTTTACATTGAAGAACAACACAACACCCCCCCCCCCCCCCCCTTTTTTTTTTTTAAAAATAGGTTTTGATGATGCAAAGAATAATCAGTTACATTGCCTACCTTGAAAATACAATCAAGTTTATGAGCTCAGAATTAAATATTCGTCCTCAAACATCCTGGCTCTCCCTCACGTCAAGTGTAAAAGACATTGAAAAATCAGGTTTGATTGTAACATAAATTGGATCTTAAATTTACCTGATTTCATGTTAATTTAAAGATTAGATCATGATTTATGGAGCCATGAATAGATATAGCATATGTGAAATACAATGGATTCTAATTCATTGGAATAGATGAGCACCAGAGTCTTGGAAAAATTGCTTGTCTGCCTAAATAACTGAAACTATACCTGGATTATGCTAAGGTTGATTCAGAAACATTTGTGAAATTTATTGATAAACTCAAATAATGTAAATAATTGCTAAAACAAATTTGCACCGATCACTTAAATTTCCTAAATATTTTTTTCAAAATAATGTTCTCCATTGGATTCTCAAGCCATTTTCTTATCGCCATGGAGTCTTTGTATGTGAATTTAATCCTGAATGATAGGCCCTATTATTTTCACTTTTTGAATTTGGCAAATCCAGACTTGGAACTTTAATTTCCTCACTGAGCAAGTGATAATATATATGGGGGAATGCGTTAAAGCCGTGCGAAGTTTTTATCTAGATTTAAATACACTTAGATTGATATTAATGCATATTTAACCAAATGCATCTAGCCAAAACGTTGGTTTAATTGTCCTGCATTTTTTCATGCCTAAACATATCCTTTGAACTGTTAATGGAGCAAATCTGTTCAAACTGTTTCCTGTTTTTTTTTTGTTTTGTCTAATTGCCACTCACGTATATGACAAATTTTTTTATTTTTTGGTGGTATTTTTTGTATATATTTTTACACATAGAAATGCTTTTTTACAGGAACATGGAGAAGGGAATTCAGTGTAATGAGCTCTGATGATAGTGTAAGATATTTATTTTATTTATTTTTATGTGAATGGGGTTATATTATATCTCATCCATCAAGTAATGAGAGACATTTTTTAACTTTATCAGCTATAAGAAGTTATCTTTTTTTTTTTTTTTTTAGAACTTTTTATATTTTTCTTCTTTGCATGAATCAGGTATATTACAAATTATTGATATTTATGATATAATATACTATTAATGATGAATATGAAAAAATAATTGCCTAAATAATTTATTTAAATTTCAGAAACAATCACCTTTTTTTATAAGACTATTTTTAACCATAGTATTTTTGCACATAATTGTGTCTTATTTGAACAGGAGGATAGCCAAGTGTTTGCAAACAATGTTACATGCAGGCTGAAATTGTCTTCACCAACAATTGATTCAACTACTGATTCTGTCCCGGGGGATTCAGTCTGCCCCAGCACATCATGGGCTGTGGAGTCAGATAACTTAGCTCAGGAGTCCCAAGATTCAACTGTGCCTACATCGAGCATTTTCCTGGAAATAGATGAAGACAGTTCAACAAGAGATTGCCAGGACTGGCTCGTGCCTCAAGTAGAAGTTGCCATGGATGAACGTGGTAACTAAATCTCCTCTTAAATAACTTTTATTTCTCTGGTATTTAAATAAATCTCATCGTTTAACTCAACATCTTGCCTACTCTTTAGATAAATCTCATCATTTAACTCAATATCTTGCATACTATTTAGATAAATCTCATCATTTAACTCAATATCTTGCCTAAGATCCCATGCATATATGGCTACTGAATAAGGATAATAATGATAAATTAACATTTAAAAATTTAAATTACAAAAGGTTATAGTAAAATAGATAACATTTATATTTTTTTAAATTGGTTTTTATAAGGCATGCTTTTGTACATGACACTCATGATTTTTGCACACGGGACTAAGAGGAGTAATATTTGAGAAAAGCGTGAAATGAGGGACTCATTTTATTGGTGGGAGTTTAATCTATGAAATTGAAGTGAGAAATTTGAGTAGACATTTTATAGAAAACAAAATCTCAAATATAAAACTAAATTTTAGATCAGATATGTGGACTCCTGTTATTAATGAATGTTTAAGAAAGGAACCTATATATTTTGGATCTGCATATCCTGTTATGTTACTGATATTATTAATGTTATTATTCCAAGGACTATTTATTGTGTTCCATGTAAATAAAGTGAATAGTGTGTAAAATTGGACTGGATAATGCATTGTGAAAAGTGGCAGTAACAGTTGATTTAACAATTTAGATAACTACCATCACTGTGAGTCAAACGCACACAGGATAGGAAGTTACAGTTTTCATCACTCTGTGAATTGTCTAAGATTAATGTTTAGAACAGAAAAGAATTAGCCCAGTAAATTTTAAAGTTAGTGTTTTCAAATGTTTTTCCCCAATAAATTTGTTTATGAGCTTTTATTATTTTTCTTACAACATAGCAGTTTTCATAATTAATTTTCAGCAAATTTTGATGGATTGTTAGATCAATCTGAGTATGATCAAGCATTGTTTGAGCTGCCTTCATCAACATTTGAGGTAAATAAAATGCAGAATGTGCAATCTTAAAACTATGGGGTTGGTCTTTTTATCCACTGATTATTTTTTAATGGTTTAAATGGTTTAATGGTACACAATGAAGTGAAGGATTTATCATTGTGTTGGGTGAAGTTTTTACAGTTAACGTGCTGCAAGTGAACATTCAGACAAACCACTTGAAAGGCAATGGGAAAATTATTTAAACTCCAAAGCTATTCAGCTCATAGTTTTCCCCACATGGAAATTAGCTTTTGGTTACATAATTTTGTATCAACCTATTTTAAGTTTTTTTCATTGGCTTAAGTAGGGGAAAAAAAGGCATTCACATAATGAATGTGTTCCTGTAACATTCAAGTTTGACCAGGTGTTACACACTGCCTTCTATTGTGAGAAATTAATCTCCTATTTTAAATTTATGGCTCGTTCAAACAGTGAACAACAAAGGACGATACGATAGAGGAATACAATAACAAAAATATGACACCCAAAACAGTACTAATTACAATTAATAAGATTTAATTTAGTAATAATAAAATTACAAAACAAAAGAAAATATAATTACAAATAATCAACTTACAGAGTATGGGAAAATCTTGTACCAGTACACAATTAGTACAATGTGCCAATTAATAATGAATGCGAATAAACACATATGAGTACACAAAGAATAATACACGTCTTGTGAAGTTAAAAATATCTATAAATCTATCTGAATCTCTGTGAATCTCTGAAACCCCTTATTTATATAGTGGGTCTACCAACGCGTCCAGAAACATCTTTACTTTTCTAATACAATCGCAAACATTCTACAAAATACTATTGAGAACAGATTAATTAATTTTAGTTGCTGTTGGCAGTAAACACAGTAAGATAAAAGGAACTGGGCCACGCCCATCTATGAACATAGGTCTGCTAGGAATCTAATTTGGGGTCAAGCAAAGTTCACGGCACGGGGAAAAATGTCCTACATAACACCAAGGTTAGCTAGTACACTAAAGAAAAGAAAAATCCAGTTACAAATTCCTTATTTTTCCCCCCAGGGAAAGTTCATGGAAGCACCAGATGAAGTCCAGTGGCTTGGTAGCCCTGAAAGATTTTCATCTTTTTATGAGGTAACCGGAAACTATTTAAGTTTTATTTCTTCATTGTCAGAGGACTACTTTTTTCTTATTCGATATCTTAGAATCTTAGGGAGAAAAAAAAAAAACGGCATCTTTTTCATTAATTAAATTTTCCTATTCAAATATTAATACATTTATAATAATTTTTCAAGCCAAAACAGTTCATAGATAAAAATGAACATCTTTAAAGTAATATATTTGATATTGTTTTGCGTGACATCATGCCTGACTCATTATTGTTAATTCCATCACAGGGTAAGTATGACAACCAGTTTGGCATTAAATGTGACCTAAAATCTTTGGATGATCAACCCTGTGATATGTCCCACACCATCATTGTATCACCCAATCAAGTGATGCCACAAACCTCTATCAAGCAAGAGCCAGTGACCTCCGACACAAGTGGCATGTCCTCCATGAGCTACACCAATGGATGCTTCAGGAAAATGAAAACACCAAGGAAACACGGAGAGTCCATTGATGATGGCTTGACTGCCACACGCAGCAAACGTAAACAAACAAGCCCAAAAAGAGTTCCTCTCTTCAATATAACAAACTGGGATGAATTTTCTGTCCATGTTAACAATGGCCTGGACAGTATCCAGGCTAATGAGACGATTGAAGGTAACTGTAACAGTTTAGATTTGTATTATAATATAGAGTAATGTAGAATGGCTTAAGTGCCCAGGATACATTTTTTTACAATTCAGACGTACATGAACAGCTTCAATATTATCTAATGACATTCCAAGCACAAACTAATTTATATCGTTACCTTTTGGAACTATTTTATTGACCTTTTAATCTGTAGGCCTATTGAAAATTTTACTTTACAGTTTTTAAACAAAAATTATTTTGTAAAATGATTGAACACTATCTCAGCTTTACATTTAGTTTAAAGGATTAATTCTTAAAATAGCTTGTTCGTAGCTTTAATATTTAACTTTCATTCATTTTTATTTAATATGTGAAATGTTTACAGGCGGCCTAGTATTTGTGCTAACATTTTATATATCTTGTGAGCTTCCAGGAGCTCAGACCTGTTTACCCTCACGATTTTGGCGTACAATGTACGATTTTGAGGTGTATACACAATATATACTGTATGTTTATTTTTTACTATTAAGATAATGTATTGAACGATTTTGTGATGATATTGTACAATTTTAAGAGTTTGAGGGTAAACAGGTCTGGGAGCCCATTCAAAACAGTCTTTATGCATTGTGTTTGGCACAAGATTTATCTGCCTAAGTAGAATTAAAAAACTTGTTTAAAACCCATCTCACTTTCAGGCATTGATATTATATAATTAGGTAAGATGGGGAGCTGAGCCTGTTCAATCATTCCCACCTTACTCATCCCTTTGCAAGCTCTGAAAAAAGAGAATTTTACCATTAAAAAAAAAAAACTTTAGTTATTTCTTGTTCATACAGGGGAAATCACTTTTGATATGACTGGAAAGTTGCTTGATGTAAATGCCACTACAAAGCTACAGCATGTTATAAAAACAGAAATAAAAGAAGAAGCTACAGATGACATTGAATTGTAAGTCTTGTATTAGTTGTGCCACTTTTAAAGTAGGACGAAAGAAATGTGCAGAAATGTCATTCATAACCAGTTCTCAAACACTTAATGTCCAAATTAATTCTCGGGAAATATTTTTATGAAACTTGATATAAGGACCTTAAATGAGTTAAAAACATATCCCCAAGTCATTTATTCAATGCCGAGGGGAAGAAGAAAAAAAACAGAGTGTCCTATTTTTTGGGACAGTCTATAATATGGCCTTATTCTGGTGATCACTACCCAATTTCCTCTCAACTTCTTCCAAACATGTGAAGAATATCATTTATGTCCAGATTTCTTCTCATCCTGATGACAAAACAATATAAAACCTGATGTGAAAAGCAATGTGCCTTCATTCATGCTCATTGTCCAAATAATGTAGCAGAATTTTTTAAGATAAAAATTTAACCCCAGTTTGATACTCATATATTTATAGATCCACACTTATGATAAGCAAAAATAGCACAGAAAAGTTACAATAGCTCAAATCATTTGGAAGATATCACTTGCTTTGTTCATTTGCTATCGTAAAAAGAAACAGGCAAGAATTTCTTGAAATAACATCAAATGCTGCTACAACCACATATGGCACTACATTGAGAAGGCCATTTTGAAAAAGTGGTGCCGTTCTCCAAAAAGTCTATCCAACGCCACTTATTACGAAACTTATGAAAATTTAAGAGGAGCAGTTTAATTTTAAATTTTTTAAAGGGCCTTTTTTTTGGGACAGTGTGGAGCGTGATTTTCTTTACCCTAATTAAATTTTTTCAAACAAATATTCAGTAAAATAGCTCAACCATTTCTTGCCAGTTTCTTGTGTTCTTTTTAAGACTAACAGCTTGGTAAAAAGTATGTGTTCAATTTAAGTAACAGCCATTACCCATAATGACTCACAAGACTTCCATCACAGATCTCTCAATTTTCTATTCAAAATTTTGGCAGGCCTGAACAAAAGTTAGCAACAGAAAGTGAGAAAGTGGTGAGGGAGACAAGTTTTGAGATAGCTGGGAAAATAGATCTTAGAAAATCATCCTGGATGAATGGATTTATGATGTACAGCCGCATACATCGCAAGCGTTTCATCAAGTTAGTATACATTCTTGTGTAGATTTATGAGACTAAATGCTTTTGTTAAATTAGAAAACAAATATTGTAGGTGAATGAGCAAATAATAAGTAACTGAAGTAAGTGAGATATTTATTGACTCATATTTTGACATCATTTAGCTCACTCGATCAATATTTAAAGTGAACATTTTCAGACAAAAAAAATTTGAAATCATGTTAGGGTAGAATTTACCCATGAATTTATTGATGAGTTGGTTTCATTATACCTACTTTTTTGACTGGCAGAGAAAACCCTGGACTTCAAGCTTCTAACATAAGTAAAATGATGGGACAAGCTTGGCGAGGAATGACAGCTGAGCAACAACAGCCATACAGGTTTAAAAGTTTTACCCCACTTTTTATTCTACTTGATAGGACCATTGTTTTAGCTGTTGCATCTTTTTCTAGGCCATTCCTTTAACTAACTTCTTTATGTGTACTACGAAGTTGAAGTTTGGCAGATTTGTTTATGTGTACTAGGAAGTTGAAGTTTTGCAGATTGTTTATGTGTACTAGGAAGTTGAAGTTTGGCAGACTTTTGACAGACTTGCTTATATGTACTACAAAAACAAAGTTTGGCAGACTTGTTTGTGTGTACTATGAAGTTGAAGTTTGGCAGACTGGTTTATTTCACCAAACATTCTAGTGTCAAAGTTTGGATGATGCTCAATTTACAGATTATGAAATATTTTCAGCTAAAATATTTGATTATATTATGAATCAGAATATTAAATTAGTACTTGACATTGTTAGCTCCTACTTGCAGTTATAGCGTCATTGCTCAGAAGAGTGTAGATTTTTACCAAATGGTTTTCCTAGGAACAATCTGATAGCAATTTATTAAAGTTTTCTTGTGAAGTCTAATTGTTGACAGAATTTCTCAGTAAGGTCGTATGGGTCATATTTCATTTAGCTTGTCAATCTATATTTTACAAGGAAGCTCAAGTAGGCCCAATATTAATAATCAATTAATTATTTTTTTTAATGGGAAATAAATGATCTTGAACTATTTACATACAAATAAAACAGCTTATTAACTACCTTTGGTTTCAGAGAGCAAGCAAGAATATGTTCACAAGAACTTCAAAAGATGCTTGATGAAAGTTACCAGTTATAACAAACCAGTGACAGATAATAGTAAAATGATTATGAAACTGGTATGCTATTACTTTTCATGCTTTATTCAGACAAAATGTACCAGTTCGTTGAAGCATAAGACCAGTCTTTCAACGTATCTCTACTTGTTAGTAGACAATGGCCAGAATATCATAGATTTGTGTTGTAAATGAGATTTTAAAAAATTAAGTCTGAGAAGGAAGTTACGTGGTCCTTAGTTGCATTTTGACAAAACCAACTTGTCATTTAGGGCTTTAATAACTGGTTAACTTTTTTTAAATTAAATTATTTTAAATTTGGTTTCAGTTTTATAAAGTAGTTCTACATGTATTTAGCAAGCTCTTTTTCCCCCCATTTTTCAGTTGTTGTTTTTTTAAAAGAAAAAAACATTGTAGTATTATATTATATTCTTTTTTTTTTTTGGTACTGACCTTTTTACATTGCACAGATTTCCAAACGTGTTTACATGAAATACTTTCAAAGGGTTTTATTCCATGGATATTCAATGTGTTAATTTTTAACAGCGATTTTGGTATTGAGATTATATTCCAATATTTGAATAAAGTATGGTTCAATTATCAGTCCAATAGCGCATAAAATATAATTCCCGATAACTACCCTAAATGATTCTTTATTTATTTTTTTGGATATTCAATGTGTTAATTTTTATTGAATTTTCAGAAAATTAAATAACAATACAGCTTGCTGATTGACAATACTATTAAGAGCTGTATGTGGATTGTTCACATTGAATAACTCCAAATGACTGTTTAATGTGATAATTTAAAAAAATTGAATTGGTCTAAGTATCAAATCATGTGATACAGATTGATATGGAACCAAACATTGACGAAAGATGCATCTGTCAAAAATTTAGACACACTATTTGCTTATGTGATGAAAAAAAGTTGTTGCTTGTAATTTGTAATGATTAAGTGCTGGAAAGACATATTTCAAGGCTGCTCTTAGGAATGAATGTGGTTCTTTGATTTGGAAAATTGTATTCATAGGAATTGTACAAATGCACCATTACTATCAGAAATATACTACAGTGCCATTTCTTTCAAGTTCTGAGTCCTCTTATCTTTTTTTAATTTTTTTAATATATTTTAAGTTGCATTTCTTTTGATTTGAAACCTAAAAATTAAAAAGGAAACAGTATTCATCAAGTCCTAATTCTCCAAAAGAAGCCCCAATACAAGAAGTTAAACCAGAATTAATTAATACTTTTGAGTTGCAGCTCAACGTTGAAATATTCAATACCATTTTCAAGTCAGACTTAACTTATATGTTTTGAATGCTATTTTGAGTTACTTGGAAATATGTTTTATTTAAATTGAATGACAATGTAAACTGATTAATGAAAAAGGCAGAAAACACTGAAATTGCATCCATTTATCAACCTGTAGTGTGTATACTATTAAAATCCCATATCAACTCCATTTATCAACCTGTAGTGTGTATACTATTAAAATCCCATCTCCCATTTATCAACCTGTAGTGTTTATTCTATTAAAATCCCATCTCAACTCCATTTATCAACCTGTAGTGTGTATATTATGAAAATCCCATTATCAACCTGTGGTGTGTATATTATTAAAATCCCATCTCCCATTTATCAAAACAATTATTTAATCCACATAATGGCTTCTTCTATATATAAAGGGCCCACGATCAACGTATTGATAATTCTGGCTCCTATGTATGTAGAGGGGATTTGAATGTTTTTGTGCCTGGTATTGAAGAGGATACTTTCTGGTTGCAAGAGCTACACAGCGATGATATCAGGAATTGGGGTTTGGAAGGCCTGAGGCAAATGTGTCAAGTGTTGTAGCCTTGACTGTTCCTTTTGGAAGCTTATTCCAGTCCCTGATTGTCTTTGGCGTAGAGCTGTAAGTGCCAAAGGGGAAATACTTCCAAATACAATACCACAATGGTCTTCTACTTTTAAGTTATGAAAGTGTAATTCTTTAAAAATTTGATTTAACATGAGTAAAACACTGGTAAGAAAGGTTACTTACCTTTTAATTAATATTTTATTTGACATATTACAAATATAACTAGTATTTAGTATAAGAAACAAATCAACATCTTGATTATATCAAATTTCATAATATTTATTCAATATTTCCAGTGCATTTATACTAAATTATTTTCTCAACTTCTGTCACCAAAAAAAAAAAAACTAACATTTCTTGTACACATGAACACTACTGGTCACATCAAACTACATTATATGTACATACGGTTAGCAGGTCATAAACATTGGTTATTAATTTAAAAGTTGCAACAGTGAAGATTTCAAAAAGAAGTTTTGAATGAAACAGAATTTTACCTTTTGAACTAGCTAGATATCTCTCTTATATTATTAATAAGTAGTAGTATTACAATAATATTTAGTTCACAGTACGTTATACGTGTGTGATGTATTTTTTTCAGCTACACCAAAGGTGCAACTTTTCAATTTCCGGCGCCGTTGCCAAATATGGGTTTTCACCAAGTGGCATGTAGGTCACCAAACGTCATCTAGTAACTGCAAACAGTAGTTGCTCATCCGGTTACTGTTTGCACCAAGATCACTGGATGTCTCATTGGATTAAAATTGGAAATAATTATGAAAGTTGTGTAATATTTTGCAGTACCCCTGGGAGGAAGCTGCAGCAAACCAGAATAAGGCCATGACAAGGAAAAAAGGGCCCCTCAATATATTAGATATAGAAAAACAAGTGCCCCCCCCCCCCAAATCATCCAGTAAAAAGACAATTTTTTAAACCCCTTGTCTTTATGGGATTTTATTGTTCAATTCACTATTAAGGTCCTATCTAAAGTCCAATTTGATGCCCCCCCCCCCTTTCATGTTGTTGCCCAGCGTGATAATGCGTATATTCTGGGTACCACTGGGCTTGCTAAAGAGTGGTGAAAACCTATTTCACATTTTTGTAATGTGACGTCATAATGTCTTTAAATAAAAAGGTTTTGTTGGTGCATAAATTTCCTCTTCTTTTTAAAGCTCATTATACCTATGCATGAGGGAGGGTGATAAAAAGAAAGTGTCCAATGGGGGAGGGGGGGGGGTGAATTTTTTTTTTGTGTGTATATGACTAATGGATGGCCCCCATGCATAGGTCTTGTTGGGATACATTAATTTTTACAAAGTAACCACTATTTTACAGAGTTAAAGTTTATGTTATTTTAATGATTTTTTGGCTCTCCAGTCCAAGAATTCATCCAGCTCGCCATCCTCCACATCATCTCCTGTCTCTGTTTTCTTTGGTCCTTCACTTTTTGAGCTCTTGAGAATTATTTCCTTTTTCACATGTAACTTTTCCACTTCTTGCCACCTTTGACTGAAAGTTAATTGAAAGATTTATAAGGTCAAGTGTTGTTTAGCTATAGCATTAACTAAGTATATTTATTGATACTGTTAATCCTCAGGCGCTTAATTTTAAACAAAGAAGAATTTTTATTTTGAGCACTATTATCCCAGCTATGGGGGTACAACCTTGGAAGACCCCTAGCTGCTAAAGAGAATATTTCATGGTGAGCTTGAGCATGGCAAGGGGTCCCGTGAAGGTCAGAGGAAACTCTCCAAAGATACCATGAGCGTTTTTTGCATCAACTCAGATAAATGAAAATGAGAACGAACATCCAAGGAGCAACCTTCACAGAACAAAAGCCCACCCCACCCCTTGCTCCTACATGAAATAAATGTTCTTTCAAAGCATTGACTTCAGTAGCTATCTGCTTGCCATCACAGACATAATCAGTATTGCCATCACAGACATACCGGTAATCAGTATCAGTACGATGGTATGTTCCTTGTTAGGCCGTTTGACAAAAACACAGTATTTAATATGGCCACAGTGTTGTGATGTATCCACTGAACAAATTTGTCCTTCTGCTTGTGTCAAAAAGCATAAAATTTGACCAAAAAATTGAATTTGCATAGAAAAGGGGAGACTATTTATTCTCAAGTGTCTCTGGTTGCTGTTATACCAATGCTGCTCCATTGCCTGGATTTGGCAAGAGTGTGGATTGACAAGAGTGTGGCATTGACAAGAGTGTGGCATTGACAAGAGTGTGGCATTGACAAGAGTGTGGCATTGACAAGAGTGTGGATTTGGCAAGAGTGTGGATTGACAAGAGTGTGGCATTGACAATGATGTAAGAAAGATTTCTAAAAAGCTAGATATTTTTGGAGAAACATACATTTGGTCATCTATTTCGTCTATGTTTCTGTCAATATTAACTTGCTCATCTTCCTCTTCCATGATTACCTCAGATACCTGAAAGATAATTGATATGTTAGGTTTATTAATGTAAGTACACAGAATGACATCAAAATGTGCTATCTGTTGACAAAATATTTGTTAAACTTTTATCCACACTATCAAGCACATCTAGTTTAAAACACTTATTTCTAAATGCTGCTTTAGTCCAGCATAGGGTGAAGGAGATCATTTTTTTTTTAAATGAAAGAAAGTGAGCTGTATTTATAAGCAGTTACTAGATGATTATATTTCAATTTCCAAATCTTTTGCTAACTAAAGCAAAGTTCTAGACTGCCCACAGTCGTCACGAAACTAAGCAATTACTAAAATAATGAACACAGATCTGCTGGTAATAACTAATATCATAATAAAACATTTGTGTAAAACTCCCTGTTTTAAGCCGAGTTCAGTGTACGAGTTTGAATGGGTTAATGTTATATTTTATTGTTTGGCTTGTTTTAACAGTATGCTTTGCTAACAGTATTACCAGGTGATATCCATAAACTGTTCTTACCTGTGCCTCTTCTTTGATTGCTTTCTGGAACAACTCCCACTGTTCTTCGTCCTTGTCTTTGTACTCAACTTTTCTAACCTAAGGAGATGAAGTCATAAATTTTAACAATAAATATTCTGATATATTTCTATTTTAAATTAACTTTGCTTTTATTTGTGGGTGGCTGGCTGGCAAAATCTTGTGACAGCTTATTGACCCAATCCCAGTTAAGCTATTGAGCTGAAACTTTGCACAAAGACTCGTTAATGACAATATTTTTCTACCAAATTTTCAGCCATACCCCACAGTAATTAGTTTTTCATGTTTACAAGGCGGAGATGAAAAAAATATGATGACACTAATTTCACGAAATTAAAAAAATATTACAGGGTTTGGTGTGTAATATTTGCAGTGTAAAAGTGGGTGGGTCGTTAGAATAATAATATATTTCAGGGGGGTTGGGGAGCACAAATTGGAATTCTTATTAAGTGCGTTACTTGTATGCATGTTTTGTCAAATTTTCAGCCCCACTGTGTATTACATTTTATACAAAAAAAATTTGTTTTTAGGTTTTGTTTATTTACAAATTTATATACGGTACAAATGATATTCAAAGCTCAAGGGACACCATTCCAATCTTAAAATTTGCTGATGATTCCACCATTGTTGGCTTAATATCTGAAGAAATCCCTTAGCGCAATTTAGTTACAAACTTTATCAATTGGTGCGATGAAAATTTTCTCCAGTTGAATGTGTCAAAAACTAAAGAAATGGTTGTTGACTTCAGGAGGGGGAAACACCAGATTACACATCTCAACATAAAAAATCAAAATGTGGATAAAGTGGAGGCATACAAGTTCTTAGGTGTCACCATTAATAATGAGCTGACACAGCATGAGCACGGCCAATGCTGTATAAGAAGTTCAACCAAAGACTACTCTACCTCAAAAAACTGAACAATTTCGGCGTAAACAAACAAGTCGTTAACTTATTCTACAGTGCAACAATTGGAAGCCTGCTTTATTTCAGTATTATCTGCTGGTGTGGGAATTCAAATTCTGATATTAAACACCGCATAAACCAACTAATCAAGAAAGCTAGGAACATAACACAAATTAAACATCCTTCACTTGAAGAACTATTTGAAGAAAGATGTTTTTGTAAAACTTAACACATTTTGGATAATACATCCCACCCGCTTCATCACAGATACTTAGGATCGGGCCGTTCCCGACGAATTCTTAAAAATTATATAAAAATTCTTTTGTTCCCCAATCTGTATGAATTTACCAGCGTGCTTCCTCTGGAGTCACACATCTGAATGGGAACTAATAAGTCCCTGATTTTGCTAAGAGAACTCACTGAATGGCTGTTTGAAATAATTTATTATAAATGTCTTGTGTTCAAATTGTTTTATTTTTGTGCTGAAAATGTATAATGCAATCAAAAAACATTTCCATTTATTTGGATCAATAAAAGAATCTTATCTTAAATATTTCTGTTCATCTTAGTCTTTTATTCTACTACTATTACTATTGTTTGTGTTCGATGCTTAGTTCTGCTCTGAAATTTCTTGGGGGGTCACAAACCTTTGCATCCATTTTAGGATCATCAAAGAAACCTTCTGGTAAAACTTCTGACATCTTCTTATTAAGTGAGGTCTCTGCAGCTGCTGGCTCATCATCCTCAAAGAAATCTGGAAAATTCCACGGGTCATTTTTGACATAAAAAAAAAAAACTTTTTGTGTTATTGTTATTCAAAAGTTATTTCTTCAGATATCTTAAGAGAACTAATTATTTTTTTAACTAACTCATCACCTAAAAAGAGCCACTGACAGCACAAGTTATGCATGGGACCAGGTGCCAATCAAAGTGCATAAAAAATTATTTTTAAAAATTCTATTCCTGTTGAATTAAAACCAATTTTATTTAAACTTTTGGATTTTTCTATTTATAAAAAAAAAATGAATTGTAGAACCTTGAGTGTCTTGAGAATAATATTTTTTTATTGTTTTTTTTTAGATTAGTGATTTCTGTGCAAATTAAATGTTAGTGGAAGTACGACTATTTATCAAACTGACTGGACATTTATATTTGTTTAACTCACCATCTGGCAGATTATTTCTCGATGACTGGGATGATTTTGCTGGCGATGCATCGGATGAATTTACTTTTGTAATTTCTATTGTGTTTTTGTCTTCATCTCTATCCTCGTCACTTTCTTCTGATGAAGATGATGAATAACCTGCTAATAATGCTGCTTTTGCTCTTTCTCTAACATCACTTTGGGATACAGGACTGAAAATTATATTTAGTTTAAAATATAAAATGACTTTAAAAATCAAGTATTTATACATACTAAATAAATCATTCTGTGTCATAAAAGAACTGTAGCATTTAGGATCTGTAACTGAATAAATTACTGAAGAGTATCATTATTTTTTTATTTAAATAAAATCTTGCCAAATTTGTTATAAAAAATCATTTATCATTTAAGATAAGATTCTTTTATTGATCCAAATAAATGTAAATTTATTTTGATTACATTTACATTGTTCATACACATTTTCAGAACATAAATAAATACACATTTTTACCAAGACAACATTTTACAATTATAACAAATTTAAACACAAGACATCTAAAGTATCTCTCTAGCGTAAAAATCAGCCATCAATTAAAAAAAAATCAATTTCTCATGAAATGGACACACACATTAGGCTCTCTATCCACATTTAATGGTGAACTTTTTAAATTATTTTTTTTTTTAAAACAACCCCCTAAATATAGATAACCAAGTTTAAGACATTATAGCCTGATTTGATTCTGAGAGTATCAATAAAGATGATAGTCTGACCATAAAATGGAGGCAAATATTAACAATTTAGTAGGTCAGGCAAATAAGCATGTGCCTAGAGGCCCCGTGCTTTTTAGGAGCCCGGTGCTTTTTAGGGGCCCTGTGTCTTTTAGGGGCTCAACTACAAAGATAATTTATTTTTTAATCGATGTGATATTGAAAGAAGTTTAAATATCTATGCAACACAATTTATAGAAGTGAAAAGAGAAAGAAGTAAGGTAAATAACACATGACTAATATTTTTCCTGGGATGTCATCATCAAATGAGGCTTTTGGCCATCTGTTGTCATATGAAGACAGGAGAGATGAGAAAACAAAAGTTCGGGTTATATGAAACCCCTACTATTTAATCAACACAAAAGGAAGTGTACAAAAATAAAATTTTAAATCAGAACTATAGGAAACAGATTATTTGAAGATAAACTCTCAATTCAGGAATCATATGCAGAAAAAGGTGAGAACAATTTAAAAGTAGACTTATCAGACTTATCTGAATGAAGCCTTTCAGTACATCTTTCTTAAATGTAAATGTGTTTCAGAGGTCTATTAATCAAGTGACTTAAGGCCCACTGCTGCCACTTTTCGGCTCGAAGCCCTCTACATTCAAAGTTGATAATTAAATTGTTTCCCAAAGCACAACTTTGGGCCTCTTAAATATAAATGAATAAACTTACAATGTCAGTTAATTAATTGGTTCCGTGACAAAGCAACCACAAAATTGGTTACCAAAAGACGTAGTTTCATTAGGGAAAGCCTACATAGTGAGCCATACCAAGGACCATGCCAAGCACGGTGTCCTCATTGGTGGCCATCCCAGGTGAAAGCCTCAGTGGGGCGGACAAAATCAAACATCATTTTTTTTCTAAATGTGACTAAGGGGCATGGGCATTTTTGGTCCAAAGAGATCAAAATAAAGGTGTGATGAAAAATTTCTTCAGCTGAATGTCTCAAAAACAAAGGATTTGGTTGTTGATTTCAGGAGCGGGGAACACCAGATTACAGATCTCAACATAAAAAATCAAAGTGTAGAGAAAGTAGAGGCATACAATAATTAGGTCATCATTAATGATAAGCTAACATTGCATGAGAACGGCAAAATGCTGTATAAGAAATTCAACCAAAGACTGTTCTACCTCAAAAAACTATACAATTTCGGCGTAAACAAACAAGTCGTTAACTTATTCTACAGTGCAACAATTGGAAGCCTACTTAATTACAGTATTACCTGCTGGTGTGGGAATTCAACAACTGATATTAAACACCGCATAAACTGACTAATCAAGAAAGCTAGGAACGTAACACAAACTAAACATCCTTCACTGGAAGAACAATTTGAAGAAAGATGTTATTGTAAAACTAAACACATTTTGGATGATACATCCCACCCTCTTCATCACAGATACTTATGATCGGCCCAATTGAGACGAATTCTTTCAATCAGGGCGAGGACTGAAAGATATACAAATTCTTTTGTTCCCCAATCTGTATGAATTTACCAGCGTGCTCCCCCTGAAGTCACAAATCTTAATGTGAAATAATAAGTCCCTGATTTGGCTAAGAGAACTCACTGAATGGCTGCTAGTGAAAAAATTTATTGAAAATGTCATGCCTTCAAATTGTTTTATATATGTGCTGAAAATGTACAATGTAATCATAAAACATTTCCATTTATTTGGATCAATAAAAGAATCTTATCTTATCTTAAACCCCTCCCCCCTATACCCTCCCGCTATTTTATCTCAATTTTCAACCTTCACACCCAGGTGCCACTTTTTCTTGACATGGCAAGCATATTTAACACAAGTTTTATTTAAACTCTTAAGTACCAGCAGCTGATAGGCAGTGGCATACGAAGGGGTTTATGGAACGGGTAGTCTGTCCTGGGTGGCATCTTTTTCTTTATATTGAGTGTGGCCATTTTGTGCTAACTGCCACGATTTTTTTGTTGAAGGGACGTGGTAAAAAGCTTGACACAGCCTGAGGGCAGCAATCCTAGCTATGCCACTGCTAATATGACATTAAGATATTTTTTCAAGGGAGGCCTCAAAGTGTCCACTGCCTATGAGTCTGGCACTGGTGGAGCCTCCAGCAATTTTTATCTGGCACTGGTGGAGCCTCCGGCAGTTTTAATATGGCTATGGTGGTGACACAAAATTTATAGTACCAGTATACTCACCTTTCTGAACTAGCTGTTCCTGAAAAAAAGATAAAATAAGCTCTTACTAACAGGTTTCTTAAGGAAGGAAATAAATCTTGATCACTATCAATTTGAATATTTATTTGAGTGTAAAATGATTTTTGCCAAGAGTTTTCACTGTGTTTGTACCTGTTTTTAATTTTTTTGTGTCTGTTGATGAATTATCTGTGTCTCCTTTCCTCTTTAAAGATGCTGACAAATGGTCTGGTTTGACTGGGCCTTGTGTCTTTAATGCTATAACTCGCTGAAATAGAAGCAATGAGTAATGAGAAGAGATTAATTAATTCAGTAGATTCACACGGGCCAAGGGATTATTTGGTAAAGCAGAATTCCAATTACAGTTAACCTCTGACATGTGATGAATGTTTATGTAAACAAACTATTAATAGTTGTAATTAAATTTAATAAATGCGTTTTTTTTGTTTTTTTAAATCCAGTTTCCAACTATGAGTTAAACATATCAAGTTTTTAGTTACCTCTTTATGCTGCTTACTCTGTATGTGTGCTATCCACAACAAATCATTTTTAATGACATTGCTACAAACTATGCAAATCAATTGGTTAAGACTGTTGTACCTGCACAACAATAAAATAGGATTTTTAAAATTGTCTTTCTATTAAAAAAAAAAAATAACAGTAGGCTTAATGATAACAAAACCAATTTGGCGAGCAATAATGTAATAAAAAGACACTTTATACTTTATATTCAAAAATTATTTCAAAATCTTAGACATGGCATTGGCACCTTAAATTTAATTGAGTAATGCAAGGTGCCATCGCCATGTCCAAGATTTTGAAATACTTTAAAAAATATAAAATATATTTTTATCAAATTATTGCTCATCCACGTTTTAAATTTAATTGAGTAATGAAAATATGCGGATAGTAATGTTTCATGAATTAATAGAATACTCTTAATATTTTCAGTAGGCCCATTAATACTCATTGATACTGACTTATGGTAAAATTAAAAGTCAATAAACAGCTCTAGGCCTATTTCCTAATTAAGTCAAAATCCATTTTTCAAATGATGGTCTATTAACGCTTTACGACTCACCCTGTTTCTGCGTATACAAATTAAGTAGTAGTCTCCCATGTGTTACCAATGATTTAGCGTACAGAGTACCGGTACTAAAATTTTCAACTAATTAAAAGACAACACTTTTAGCATGGTTTCTTTTTTCACCGTGTTCATCTTGGAGTTGGAGAATCAGCAAGTTAAGTTTTTTCTTTTTCCTTTTTCGTTTCTTTTGAAAATTGTAAGTTGAATTTTAATAAAATGAATGGAAAATTTCATTGTAGTACTTCATAATATAAATAAAAACCGCATCGATCATCGGCTTTCGACGGATTATCATCAGTTACTTAGATTCAGCTTATGACACGAGTAATGCTCATTGAAGAACAGGAAAGCTATCACACACATTGTTCAGGTCTAAAAAAAATTATTTTCCTTCTAAGTCCAGTGTTTGGATCCCACAAAGTGAGGTTACTGCGCTTAGGGTGAGACAACTCTTTAAGAGACTCTTGGCAAAACCCTTGCCCATGCCCATACATTATATTACCTATACATTATATTACCTATAAATTACCTGTATGTTAAGTCATCTATAGTCATAAATTTACGATGCGTTACAATGCAATTGTGATTGTAGTAAATGACAATGAACAATTACAATTACCCAAAATTTATCCCAGGTGTTGTTAACTTTAAATTATAAATAATTTATGATAAATAAATAAACTGAATCAGCATTTTAATATAACATACTTTGCTAACGGATGTTCTATTCGCTTAGCTGTTGCTTTGGAGAGTGACTGTTTTTCTTTCATAAAACGTCTCAAATCATCTTTTGTTACCACTTTTTTCTTGGCGGCCGCCATCTTGTAAACAAGAATGCTACCAATTTTTATTTCAGACAGTTTCGCAATTTTATTAAAATAAATATAATTTTAAAACAATGTGAAATATGAAATAAATAAAACAAATAATAATATTAAAATAATTTAACTGTATGCCCTAAAACTATACGTTTAAATTATTTTTGTTTCCTAATTCTTTATGACTTTTTGCGGATCGAATGAAAAGTTATGTTATATATGATTAATTATAAATTATAAGTATAATGTAAGTTAGTAAGTTTAGTAAGTGAAAGTGTAAGGCCCATGTCAAAGTCAAAATGAAAATGATATATATATTATGAAAAATGAAATCAAATGTGAGCGCAATTATTTATTATAGCAGACAACTGTCTCATTTTTTAACCCTTTCAAATAATGTAAATTATATTAATTTGTTGAAGTACAGAAATCATAAAAAACTAGAGTCGCGGTCGCTACTAAAGTGGCCATATTTTATTGAGTGATTCCCCTTTGTTGTTTGCCAATACTCTCTAAAGATTTTTTAATCCACCTTCACTTTTAAGTCTTTAGAGTGTATCCAAATGTTATAAATTATTGCTATTATTGATCGCAAAATCAATGTCTACGACGCGCGTTGTTTAACAGGAGGTTTATCCTTTGACGTTGGTACTTTCTATCACGACGGTTAGAAAAGTAGTAAGTAGTAATCGTTCCGTCGAAATTTTAATTTAACTTTATCTCTACTTCCATTATTTATCGATTGATTTTAGACTACTGGTTCCCAAACTTGTTCCATCCTCAGCACCCTTGACTAATCCAAGTTCCCCCAAGTTGTCCTGTGTCAAATTCTAACAAGCAGCCTACAATGTGAAATAGCGAAGTTTATTTTGTTAATATTGAAAGATTAGGTAAAAATAAATCAAACATGTATTAAAGATTACAAGCGCCATCTACTACTAGCCATGTGAAAAGTCTTCTTAAGGGCCGTCCATAAAGTACGTCACGCTCCAGAGGGGGAGGGGGCGGGGGTGTAAGAAAGTGTGACAGTTTGTGACATGGGGGGGGGGGGTGTGAGGCCCCGTGTGACGTCACACGTTTTTTTTTTAAATTTCATTTATATTTTTTTTTTTTTATTTTTTTTTTAGTAGAATTTAATAGCTTTAAAAATAATTTTCAAAAATTCCGTGAAACATTTGAATTAGTTTTATGTCAAAATAGCATGAAATGCGTATCTACTGAATGTGTTGTTCACGATTCCTCTCGCTAGGAGCGCTAGTATGCTGTTGCGAAGCCTTGTTTTATGTATAGCCTTGCTTTCAATCTTTCCCTTTAGTATTATTATTTCTATGTTGTCCGCTGCATAAATATGTCACTGTCTTTTTTATTATTTAATCATTTGGTGAGGTCAAGTTTCGCTAATCTACTTCTAATCCTGTGTAAAAACATTGCATGGTCGGAAGATTATCTATAACTTGACCTCACCTATTGTAAATGAAAAAGCAGCAGATAAATGATGTGTATTATCAGTGGCGTAGCGAGGAGGGTGCGGACCGCACCGGGTGACACCATTTAGGGGTGACACCCGATTGAAAAATTGCATATTTATATAGCATACAGTTCTAGGTGTAACAGAGATTCATAAAAGAATAGCCGATCACATATACATTTTCACAAATGTAACCAATCTAAATGCGTGCTTTATTAAAAGTTCAAGGTTGATGCGTCAGAATGACATGACCCTATGTTTAGGTCAGAAAAACACAGTCATCATTCCATGCCGATTGAAGTGTTCGGTAACTTCCTTAAGTGACAGGAGGCTATATTTATCTAAATTCTGAGAAATATGGCTTTCCATTGATACCAAATAAGTGTGGTCGGGCGGTTATAAGTGTACAAATCGGTAAAAATTAAAAACATTGAAAAATGAATTTTACCCATTTATAGGGTTAAAAATATATTATTTTACACTGTTTTCAATCTTTTAATGATTAATTATTTTTTATTTAAATAAAGAAAAGTTTTTTGAAGACATATATAATAGTATATATCGAAACCCAAAAGGTATCTTACCTTTCACCAGGAACCCAAAATAAATTTATATGTGTTCGCAAATCATGTGAAGGAGATTCTTATCATGGATATAAAGCCTGCGAAGTATTTTGGAATTATTTTCGAAAGTACACCTGATAGATCACACAGTGACCAGATGTTTGTAGTGATCAGATATGTGATAGTCCACAATGGGAAAGTTGAAGTGAGAGGAGTGTTTCTTGCATTTTTCCCGTTAAGATTGAAAAAAAAAAGCTGATGACCTCAGTTCTGTCATTCTTACAAACTAAATCATGATGGACTAGACATACTGATATTTAGAGCTCAGGGTTACGAAAATGCTGCCTTAATGTATGGAATCCGTGGAGGTGTTCAAGCCATTCGGAAAAGAAATAATAAGAAAGCAAACTTTAAAGGATGTGTGGGCCATTCACTTGTGTGGTCAACACTCTTTTGCAGAAAATGCTTCATGTATTACATTATTCGGTACTTTTGAAAGAATATTTTCCTTCTTTGCTGCATCCAATAATCGATGGAATGTTCTAATTGAACACACTGGAATGTCGGTGAAAAGACAGTCAACAACGCGTTGGAGTGCTCATCATGCTACTATTAAAACAGTGAAAGATATGTTTGATGAATGTTGGGAGGCGATTAAAGCTCTATGTCATCACCTTGTAAAAATTTGCATACAAGAGGTTAAGCACAAGATCTTTTACATGTTGTCTGTGATTTCACGTTTATCTGCTACCTTTAACTTTGGGCTGATCTACTTGAGGAAGTTAATCTTTCACAGCAGTATCTGCAGTTTTAAGTGATGACAAACCTAGAAATCTTAACATTGTTTCTGCACGAGAAGCGTCGCCACTTGGTGGAACATGCTATTGAAAAGGCGGCACTTTTAAAATCAGACCAATGTGGAATTTCGGTAAAGAGAAGATTAAGGTATATGAAGAGAATGGCAGAAGAACTATTAATTAATAGATGCTGGACTCTTTCTGGGAGAAGAAAACGGTAAGGAGATGATGGAGTGTATTGATCGCTTTCGATATGTCTGTATGTCGCTTCATGTGAGTGGAACTTTTCAAAACTAAAGCTTATCAAGAAATATTTATGATCCACCATGTGACAGTCAAGGATTTCTGATGCGGCTCTGCTATCAATTGAAAGAGATACTGAACAACATTGATTTTGATCAAGCGATTGACAGATTTGCATCTTTGAAGACAAGGAAGGGAAAATTTTTAAATAAAGTAAAGTTAAAGTAAATACAACTATAATTTAACGTTTTTAAATATATTAACCTCATGACCTTCGATTTATTTGTTTTTGCTCTTTTTATTGTTATGCTGTGGACTTATTTTAACAATAAAAAAAAATATCTTGGAAATTGTGGGGGGGGGGGTGTGACACCTTGAGTTTACAGCACCGGGTGACACCAACCCTAGCTACGCCACTGTGTATTATATAATAGTCTATTCTAAGTTTTGCAATGTTTGTTTTCAAATTCAATCTAGATTGAGTTACTGCTTCAATGAGTAAGTGTGATAGCTGTTGACAATTAACTATTCTACTATTAAAGTCATTTTAATAATGTAATAGTTCTTTTAAGTGGAAATTTTATATTTTAATACATTTTAATAGTGAAGAGTGTTTTTGATTAAATTTTAATTAGGTGTTAATTTTAAAAAAAAAAAATTCGAAAGTGTGATGTACTTTAAAAGGGAGGGGGGGGGGTTCCGAGATTTGTGACATTTTGTGACAGTGGGGAGGGGGTGTGAAAAATGGTCAAAAATAGCGTGAGGTACTTTAAGGACGGCCGCTTAGTTGGATCAGGTCCATTCGATGTCAGGTCATATGACAATGAACTGAAACTGTAAATAAAACTGTGAAATTCGTGCAATATCTCTCGCGGCACGCCCGAGAGGAATCCTCGGCTTCCCAGAACGCGAGGCGCGCAGTTTGGGAACCGTTATTTTAGACTAATAATTTTGGGAAGGTATTTCAGGAGTCCAATGCCAATGGTATTTCATGGAAATTTTACATTGTGGGTGATACTGCTGTGGGTAATCCCTAGTTTAAAAAAGTAACATGCCAGAAATGTTGTTGTGTTTTTTTTTTTTGTTTCATCGTTTAGTCATCCGTGCACTATTACAGACCAACCTAGTCCTTCCATAAAGAGAAATGAGTTGAGAGTTCAAAGCCATCTCATTAAAATTTCGCATCTGTCAGTGCCACGAGCTGATCAACTGCTTTCCCCATTCCTCCACCCAACCCCAGCCGCCAACACTCCATCTTTCCACTTCATTTCACCGACGATCCCTGGCGTAGCTAGGGTTAGTACCACCGTTGCGGGCCATGATTTTGCCCCCCCCCCCACCTTTTTTCTTTTTTAAATTGGTACGCAGTTACTATATGGATTAAATTATGTACACATCGACTTGAAATAAAAAGTTAAACCTGTAAAAGTGTAATTTGTGTGAAATTACGTATTAAAATTAGACTATGTGTTCCATTTTTGGCTTTACAAAAAAAATAAATCCAAATTTAGGGTATATAACTGATTTATTTTAAAATGTGCAATGGTTAAAAAAATTATGATCTAAAAGTAGTAACACTAAAAAATGAGTATTAAGATTTTATCTATTCACCATTTCACCAAAAGAGAAAAAGGAAGATATAATAATATGAGGGAGACTGCGATCGAAATGTAAGAAAAGACAATAATGGACACAAGATGGCGGTAAATTTGAAATAAATTCCACTACAAGGCAACAAACGTGTCGGCAAAAAGCTTTCATCAGCAGACAACAGCAACATTAAATAAAAACATTACAAATTAAACACAATATAAACTAAGCTCCTGGGCCTAGGGCAAGTAATAAAGGTAGCATCCTCCAATATATTCTAAACCATATAATTTGTTTTCTTAATTTGTTGGACTGTGGTTGTTGGGATGTGTTCGTTTGCCTATGCTTGTTAGACTG